TTTTTGAATTATAAGTGTTCATAAATTGTAAAACTGTAGGGTTATGGCTACCACCTGGCAATCAGCCATTTGTAGCCAAATAAATATTATTATTATTATTATTTTATTATTATCCAATTTTTCTCTCGAGTTTTGAGTGGCACCGTTAACGACCTGACACCTCTGAGTCATAGAGTCCCGTACCTTGCCCGCTGCTGGGTGAAGTGTGCGTGAGGGCTGACGCGGGGCGCGTTGCGCAGGTCGTACGACAGCTCGACGCAGAACGACCTGTGGCAGGCGCTGACGGAGCAGGCGCACGCGGACGGCGTGCTGGCCGCCGACGTCACCGTCAAGCGCATCATGGACACGTGGACGCTGCAGACGGGCTTCCCCGTCGTCACCGTCACGCGCGACTACGACGCCGGCGGCGCCACCGTCACGCAGGTACTGCCTCCCGTTGGGCGTTCTCGGTCGCGGCGGCTCGTGCTTGTTTGGTAGCAAGAACTGGTGTGGAAACAGGTTCTGGGTTCGAACTTCGCCAGTCAAACTCGTCAGTTCGGCAGTCATGAACGTTTACCGTCATCTTTTATGTTTATGCGGAATTATTTCTAAATCCGATAACAATTTTAGCTCCTCGCTGCAAAAAGCTGTCGTTTATAAATTTTTCTTTTTTGCACTTACTTCTTAAGAAGAAAACGTATTGTAATTGTGCGTCGGAATACGGCAAAGTTTCGAAAAAGTCCTGTTATTTCCTGCTTCTGGATACGAAAATGTGGATAAATGTTGTTCCTATATATCGTAAATTACTGTATCTTTACGTTGTGTAGCCAGAATCGGTACTTTGGGATCTTGATGCCGCAAAATCGATTGTCAACAAAACGTATGTCTGTTCGTCTGTGTTACTCTGTCTGTCACTCTCTGTCACTCTTTGTCTGTAAATCTCTGTCACTCTCTCTGTTTGCCTCTGTCTGTTCTGTCTGCCACTCTCTGTTTGTCTGTCTCCCTTAATGAATCACTGATTGTTGTTGGTTCATCCCTCCATGGTAAACGCCAGCTTTTGCTTTGTAATTCTGTATTGGAACTTTTTGATTCGGCGGTTTGCCGACAAATACATGTTTTTTAAGACAGGTGCGCTAGAATTGCTTATTAAGATGAAAAGCTGTGAAGGAGTCTCTGAGAAAGAGTATTTTTTTCGTTTTGCATTAAAAAATTCTACAGGTTTTAAAAAGATTAAAGTTGTAACATAGCCCACAAATTCAGTGAGTTAAAACAAACCAGGAATTTCTGCCTTGACCTCCTTCAGAACGCGTAATATTTCTGTGGTTGTTATTGCGGTATTCAAAGAATAAATTTCATCCCTTATTAAAGTACTGTGTTCTGCTTACATATACATTTTAAAAAAATCCTACAGGGAGCGATTGAAAATGTGGAAACGGTCAGTAAACATCCCAGACCAAAATATAACACAGATCGTGTCGAAAATGATACATCAGGACATGCTTGCGTAAGTGCCAATATTGACCAAACGAAAATAGCCTACAGCACACGAAGTGATCAGAGCATTGTAAAAATATTTTTTCAGAAAATAAACGCGCCGCGATGCAAAGTATATTGAGAATATAAGGCAAAACATGTGCAAAATATTGTCAATTTCTTGTGGAATGGTAATAAATGTGCTGTGCAAGTCATATCACGTAATTTAATAATTATTTTTAAATCTTAGTAAACCTAAAAAGTTATTTTGGAATCTCAACAATACGACCTCGAATATCCAGTCGTGAAACCCATGTTTAAGGTTCTTTACACCTGCAATATGAAGGACTAGAAGTGCTGTTGTAAGTTAGTATTGATTCAAGGGATGAGAAGATACATGAGAAAATGTGGATGTCTATTTGTCTCTCTTTCTGCTCCATTTTCCCGCACCTTTCTCACCAGTGATACGATTGATGAGGCGAGTGAGTTGAGGCGAGTGAGTTGAGGCGAGTGAGTTGAGGCGAGTGAGTTGAGGCGAGTGAGTTGTTGAGGCGGGTGGATGAAGGGGAAGGTATGAGTGCTGACCGGCGTGTGGCGGTGTGGCAGGAGCGGTTCCTGCTGCGCAGCCCCGAGAACGGGTCGGCGGCGGCGTCCGAGGGCCCTGTGTGGTGGGTGCCGCTCACCTACACCTCGGCCGACAGCCCCGACTTCGAGTCGACGCGGCCGGCGCTGTGGATGCGCGCCGAGCGCTCCGTGGTGCTGCCGGCGCTCAACCTCCTTCTACTGAGGCTGAAGGTGGGCACCCGCTGAAAGGGGGCACCCCGCTGAAAGGGGGCACCCGCTGAAAAGGGGCACCCGCTGAAAGGGGGCACCCGCTGAAAGGGGCAACCCGCTGAAAGGGGCACCCGCTGAAAAGAGGGCACCCGCTTGAAAGGAGCACCGCCATAGCGGTGGAGGGTGCGCACCTGTCTCCTGGATGTTGAAGATGAGCCAGTGGTCGGCGGAAAGCGCTTGAGCGCCGGCAGCACCACGAGAGCGCTCGGCGACGCATCCCACAGCGCCGGCCACGTCGACTCGAAAGTCGGGCGCTGTCGGCCGAGTTTGTAGGTGAGCGGCACCCCACCAACACGGGGCCCTCGGCCGACGGCGCCAGACCCGTTCTCGGGGCTGCGCGAGCAGGAACCGCTCCTGCCACACCGCCACACGCCGGTCAGCACTGCACCTTCCCCTTCATCCACCTCGCCTCGAAACACTCGCGCTCAACTCACTCGCCTCACTCACGCACTCACGCACTCACGCACGCATTCACTCCACGCATTCACGCCCGCAACTCCACGCACGGAATTCACCCATGCACGCACTCACCCACCGCACGCACTCACCCACGCACGTCCACTCACCACGCACGACACTCACCCACGCGACCACTCACCCCACGCACGCACTCACCCCGCACGCACTCACCCACGCACGCACTCACCACACGCACGGCACTCACCCGCACGCACTCACCACGGCACGCACCTCACCCACGCACGCACTCACCCAGCGCAACACGCACTCACCCACGCAACCGCACTCACCCACGCCCACGCCACTCACCCACGCACGCACTCAAACCCAGCGCACGCACTCACCCACGCACGCACGGCACTTACCCGCCGCACGTCCCTACGCACGCACTGCACCCACCCGACGGCACGCGCGATTACCCACCCACGCACGCGCTCACCCACCCAACGTCACGCGCTCACCGCACCACGCACGCACCCACCCACGCACTCACTCATCCAATCGAATGCCACTGGTGGAAAGGTTGCGGGAAATGAAGGAAAAAAAGGGGAGAAATGCAGTTGAGACAAACAAACAGACAAATAGACAGTGTTGACATTTTCGGTCATCGAATCTTCTCTGCGCGGCGTGTTGTATCAATCGTAACGTATAAAACAGCCACTTCTAGACCTTTAGTTACAAGTTGTTAAAACGAACACTTAAAAATCGTTTCACGATTGGGTATCGAGATCGTGTTGTTCAGGTGATCCAATTATTAACTCTGATAGATTACATATGATTTAAAAAGAATTAATTAAATTACCTGATGAATGACTTGGCACCGCAACATTATTTCTTATCCACACGAAAATGATAATACTATGAAGTGATTTGCCTATATTCTTAACGCAACATAGCATCGTGACAGCAGTTTACGATCATGAAAAATATTTTTACAATGCTCAGAGTCAATTCCGTTGTGTACTGTAGGCTGATCTTTATCGAGTTGGTAAAGTTTTGCACTTACGCAAGCAATGTCCTTGTGTATCATTTTCGACATATGTGTTATATTTATGATCTAGTGAATGTGCATGGCCGATGTTCCACCCCCATTTTTTTTTTTACCCCTGCCTATAAGGGTTTTTCAAAAAAATACTGATTGAAAGCAGATTATATAGTCTTTAATAAGATAAAATTCATTCTTTGAATACCAGCAGATATACTGACCACGATAAACTATCTAAGTGTTACTGAAGGCAAGTTGAATACAAAAATCCCTAATTTAGTTTTAACTCGCTGCATTTGTTAGAGCTATATTAATTTTAAAATTTCAAAGCATAAAATGATTTTGTATCGTTAAACGAAGAAACCTTTTCTCTTATCTTAGGACTCTTACAGCTTTTCATTCTTAATTAAGCAACTCAAGCGAACCTGTCTTTAAAAAAACGCATATGTAGTTGTGGAAACGCCAACCATCGTGTTTATCTAAATCAACTTCTGAAGCCCTTCAGCAAATAGAAAAAAGAAGCAATGTTGAAGATTTTGTGCTATTCTATACAAAAGTAAGAGATTATTTTGTATTTTACCCGTAAAGACTTTACAAACATTAGGGCAGACCTGATAAAACATCCCCAATACAGAATCAGAAAGCAAACGCTAGCGTGTACCACTCGGACGGGGATGAACGGAGGCAGACAGTGATACATTGAAAGAGACATTATAGACAGACAGAAGAGAGTGACAGAGAGGACAAGAGACTGGCAGACAGAGCAGCGATGACAGACCAGACAGCAAGTGACAGACAGAGCAGCGAGTGACAGACAGACAGAGAGTGAGAGACACAGAGGAGTGGACACCGAATGACAGACATTATTGTTTGCTGTTCAACCAATTTTCTGTATCAAGAGCCCAAAAAACATGCCATTTGACTACACACGAAAAGGTAGATGTACTTATTATATAATAGAACATCTTATCTCAACTTGATTTCGTATCCAGAGGTCTGGCAAATAAGAATGTTTTGTCAAAGAATTTGCCACTTTCCGACGCACCGAGATGCAAAAAAATACAATTGTAATCTGATTCAGATTGTTTTCCGCATTATTATAAAAGTGACACGGTTAACCGCAATATGACTGCAACGACTGACGAGTTCGACTGCGAATTCGAACCCCAAACTGTTTCCCACACCAGTTCTGCTTACCAAACAGCACGAGCCGCCGCGACCGAGACGCCCCACCGAGGCAGTACCGCGTGACGGGGTGGCGCCGGCCCCCGCGTTCGGTATCGCAGCGTGACGGTGACGGACGGGGAAGCCGTCTGACAGCGGTCACGCTTTCCATTGATGACGCTTGACGGTGACGTCGGCGGCCGCACGCCGGATACCGCAGTATGCGCCCTGCTCCAGTCAGCGCCTGCCACAGGCGTTCTGCCGTCGAGCTGTCGTTACGACCTGCGCAATGCGAACACCGCCGTCCAGCCCTCACGCCACACTTCACTCACGCAGCGGGCAAGTACACGACTCTCATACGAAGAATGTCAGGTTGTTAATCGGGCTGCACACTCAAAACTCGAGAGAAAAATGGCATAATAAGTAAATAAGTAATAATAAATAATAAATAATAATATTTATTTGGACCTTCAAATGGCTGATTGCCGGATCTCTCTCTTT